GCACCCTTTTGTAACGCGCCTGAAAAATCGAGACGTAGGAGTACAGCCGTTGAGGCGGAACAGCTGCCAACCAATCTGCATCGCGGCTCAAGTGGTGCAGCTCGTGAAAGAGATAGAGGATGCTTTGGAAGAGGCAGCCCACCCCCAGCGAGGCATTGATCTCCTCTGAGGAATGGCTGTCTGAGAGCTAGCAACCCTACAGGCTTGTCCTATGCCTGCTTGGCCCGAGCTTTCCGGTGCAGTTGGCACTCATTCACCAAAGCAAACATCAGCCAGCTAACAAATAACGTTGTTACCACGTGTTGACGCACTAGCAAACAGAAAGGGCATTCTGGGCCCATGTGCTTGATTGGTCGAGGCAGCCAACAACTTAGGTGCAACAGGCAAAGCAAGTTCAGAAACTATGACCGCTCCTGGGGCAAGTGTTGCCACAGGCGGCCCCCCACCACGAAGCGTAGCTCATTGCCATCCTGAAAGTGCCGGAAGAAGTTGAGGGGTCTGCCCCGGCAGTCCTCAGGAACGCCCCAACGCTACCGGGCCCTCTGCCTGTGGTTCAAGCGTGGGTGATAGATGCATTCAAGCGCTGGCTGCTGACCTCCAGATGCAACTCAACAAATAAGCAGGCTTGCCATTCGCAAAGCAAACCTCATTTCAAGTTGAAACTGTCACAACGGAATTGGAGCAACTTCAAATCAACCTGTCATGCGCGGCTACAACAACATGATTCATGATGACGGAGCGCCAGCAAGTAGAACTTGTTGGGTTGCGAAGCAGAGATCCGGTCCTGGTTCTGGTTGGGAAACACGGGGTTGGACACCAAACAAGCGAAGGAAGGTGTCTCCACCGGCACCGCGCAGCATGCCATCGCCAGCAAGGCGTTGTAGCCCCAACATTGCAATCGCAAAGGGTGGCAGCAGTGCTCCGCCAAGACGTTCTCGAAGCAGTTCCTTCGCTTGCGCCATGGGTCAACCAGTCCCGAGGTCATCCAAACACGCGCGCACACACAACACACAAACAGACCCACAGGCACTGTCAAACACTTTTTTCCACAGCAGCAAATGACTGAACAACAACGGTTCACACATTTTTCAACAAGGCTCATTCGAGGGGTGAGAAATCAAGAGGCTAATGCATCAGTTTTGTCCACTATGGCTGCATATGTTGGCAAACAATCTGCACGTGGTTTCATGTTTCGCAAGTCTTGTGCACTAGTTATTTTGGACTGTTTGTCTTGGCATCCCTTGCCTTTGCCTTAGCTTATGCGCTGCGCAACTCTTGGTGGCCACCAGACATGGTTTGAACATGGGTGGCAACCTGCGCCCCATTTGGGGGTTGCTGGCCATGGGACTGTTTTGCGCCTGCCAAAATGGCTCTGCAGCTTGCCATTTTGCCAGGTCGAGTGCACAAGGGAGAACATGTTTTGGGATGCTGAGGGAGTAAAGGGTTTCACAGAACTCAGGGGTCGACTTGCAAAGGCAGTCAAGCGATTTTAAAATTTTAGACCCGAAACATTATGTGTGATGGCTAGCTATTGGCCAGGGGTCTTTGGGGATGAAATGGACTTCCGGAAAGCCCAACGTCTTGGCTAGTTTCCGCCTGTTCTGACAACTAAAGAAGCGATTGACACAGCTGTGCCACGCTTTCAAAATTATAATCTCCGAACGTGTCGGAACACTGTGCCATTCCAGGATGCAAGTGGGTCTTACAAACAACTCATGGCTTGCCCTACTACAACCAACAACAAGAATACAACTAAACGCACAAACAAGCACATACACAAAAAACACTGCAATAACACAAAACAACACACAAACACAGAAGCACCTGGCAAGCAACCAAGCAATCAACTCTAATTGGTAGTTTGGATTTGTGGTTTGGAGGTTTGGAGTGTTTCCCAATGTTCGCCACGACAACCAAGGGTTCAAGTTCCCAAAGCACAAATCCAAACAACCAGTTAAAGGCCACCTGAATGCAAGCACGCAAACAAACAAGCACATCCATCAACCAACCAACCAACCAACCAACCAACCAATCAACCCAAACCAACCCAATCCAACCTAAACCAACCAACTAACTAAGCAACTAACCAATTAACCACCAAACAAATAAACAGAAAAATCAAACGCACAAGTGAACAACCAAACACAAACACGGCAACAAACAACCAGGAAGCCAAACAAACCACAACTAAACAAATACAAAAGCAAGAAAAGCTGTGACAAACCCACACGTAACCAAGCTAGCAAGCCAACAAGTAAGAAGCCAAGACAGAAACACACGTAACAACAACACGATCAGCAAAAAGCACATAAGGACATACAGAAACATCCAATCGAGCGAACAAAGGAACAGAACAAACAAATGAAAAACAAGCAACGAACGAAGGAAGGACTGCTTGCACAAATGGGTGAATGCCTGAATCAAATAATTAATGAATGAAATGGAATGAATGACTGAATGAATGCGTGAATGCCTGATGACCGAAAGAAATAAATACATAAAAGAACAAACAGCGCAGAAACAAGTAACACAATAACAATAGCGGAAGAAACCAATGACAACATACACATAACAACTCAATGCAAACTGCGAACACTAAAACAATAAATAAACACAACCTGCATTGTTTTTTACCAAAAAAAACAAAAAAACAAACACATGGTGATTAAACAACACGCACACACGCACAAACACACAAACACGCAATAACGCATAGAAACACACAAGCAAAACAGCAAGCAGGCACAAGCAACACAAACAGCCAAAGAAACAAACAAACAAACAAACAAATAACAGCAACAAACCCACCCAAGCAAACTGAACCAACACACAACAAAACGAGCAAATAATCAAACAAATAAAAAACAAAAAAAACACAAAGAACGAAGCAACCTCACCTTCTGAGCGGGCTGGCAAAACAATCTTGCTTTGCTTATCACTACTAAACAATGGTCTCCCCAAAAAGGCACAAAGACACATTTTTCTTACAACTAATTAAGTTGGTTTTCCCAAAAAGTGTTTCACGTCCAGGAACTCAGGGAGTGAGCGACAGAAGCCGAGCTTCTCTGGCCGATGGGTAACCCGCGGCACAAGCCACGGACCTCGCACCTGGGTCAGGTTGTTCTCACCTCCGCATCGACCGAAAAGCTGAAGTACTCCATGAGGCCTTCCGTGCCAGGCCACCCAAAATGGCGGCTCTCCTTTTGGCTCCCCTTTAAACCAAAACAAGGGTGCCCCAAAAGAAACACACAACCCCCCAATTTGGGAAATAGGCTGAAACTAATGTGCTTGGCCGGCGTCAAATGGTTGGCCTGAGCCGTTGGCCTTCATAACTTGCCTGAGCAACATGGCTTTCTATTGCGCCCCCAATGTTCACTACTGACTTGAGCGGCTGACATTCCAAAAACCATCTAACACACATGCAGCTGAGTCACCAAGCAAGAACGCCAATGCCCCGCCCCCAGCTCGGCCTGGGAGGGTCCTTAGGCCTTGCAGTCCAGTGCACCAGCACGAAGTTTGCCGTGAAGCGAAGCCGCTGCTTCCCGGGCCGCAGCGTCGCCACCGGGGCAAAGAAGTTGCCGTCGTGGGACAGCTGCAGCCGCAAAGGCACGGGGAAACCGTTGTCTGCCTGCACAGCTTGTAACTTTGTTGCTGTTGATCCCTCTGCAAAAAGTTTAACTTTCTGTGGGTTTAGTGGAAAACCCCTTGACTTCCCAAAAGTTGAAGAATAGCAGTCAAGGTAAAGGGCGTAGGGCAGAAGCTGTCAGCAAGCTCAGGAAATTAAGACCTCTGGAAAGAAGTGTTTGAGACGTTTACCGCGGGAGATTTGCAGGAGAAAAACGCGGACCGTCTTGGAATAGTCGTTTCGTGGCAGCCCCGCCTGCAAGACTTCTGAGCCAGGGCAAAGCTGGAAGGCAACCGTCAGCTGCCCTGGCAACGAAGAAACTCAATGCTTTGTGGGAGTGCTTAGCCTACACCGACATGCACAAGTTGAAATAGGTGAAATTCCAACCTAAGATTATACTACGCACAACCATGGCAACAAATCAACCTGTCAGTTTGCGAGAAGTCCGACTCCACTTGGTTGCAGTGCCACGTCTCGGTGGCAAAAATGCAAATCAAAATCTTCATTCCAAGCATCGGTTGCCAAGCGAACAACCCGACAACAGCTTGCGGTTCATTTTTTGCTGCACACATGACCCAACAAAAACATGGCAGCAAACTTGCTGGGGCTCAGCAGGGAATGCGGGAATGAAACCAGGGGTCCCCTCAAGGGAAACCACAAGTACGGGTCATTCCACCTCTCATTCCCTGCATCTCTCGCACCGATCGCCAGCAAACAACTTCTTGAACAGCGCCTGGAAGCGTGTAACCCTCGGTGAGAAACTCCTTGCAGCTGCCTTGGCCTCGCGTCGCGGTTTGTCACGTTTTGAGGCCTTGCGTTGCTTGAACAGGTAGCAAACACTGCAACATGTTCATATGTAACTTGCACGTTCCAGGGTTTGCCACCCAAGGGGGGTGGATGTAACAACTTGGTAAAACTTTCCATCCAGCACAAGTTGTTCGTTCGTACTGTTCACAACTCCAGCATCCTGTAGTCAGTCGACAAAAACCCATGTCAGCAAAAGCGATGCCATTGACACACCCTTCCAAGCCGGGCCAATTCTGGCTTCTCCCGAGCGAGGGAACGCTAGTAATGGCCACCAAGCACACGCAATCTCGAAAGAAACACGTTCAGGGCAAACGCGAATGAATAAGCCAAATAGACTCGACAGGTTCATTGAACACCACCAGCAACACATACAAATCACCGCGAAACTAGATGGCACAACATTCTGGGAGATGACTGAATCTTTCACCCTGGACACGTCGAGAGGCCTGAAAGGAACAGGCAGGAAGACAAGAGCGGCGCAGCAGCAGGAAGCCAAGCAGCCATGGTCAGCCATGGGTACGCCCTGTCTCCCGCGGATTTGGGGAAGAGCACGGGTCGAATCTGCAAGTGAACCCGAATTTCTTCAGCATAGGCCGCTTCTTGAATCTTCTTGAAAGCTACGTGCGCTAGAACGCGGTAAAACATTGACAACCGTGCTGACTGTCAGATTTGGCCAAATCCAAGCATACAAGGCGGTGCGAAACGATTCGGTCGCACCAGCCAAACACCTCTTGCATCAAATGTCCGACTGCTTCTTGGGGCGGGGCTGCTTGGAAACCATCGAGTTACTTATCGCGAATTCAAGTACCGCGCAACGTTACATGGTGTTTGAAGAAGGTCGTCCCCCGAGAAGAAGCTCTTCAAATGCAGAGGATGCTGCTCTTGGCGCTTTTGCGATTCATTCGAACTTGTGCCTCTGCTTGAGCCAGCCGGGTATGCTTCCCCAGCTTTGTGGTCACCTTCAAACCTGGGACTTGCAAAGGGGCAACAAAATACAGGGTGCACGTGCAACAGCACGGGCGCAGCACTTGCGCAACATGCGCCGTTCAATATGCACAACACGTACACATACACATAAATATAGCAAACAACCAACACATACATAACATATACGCAATACATACACAACACATACAGAACAAATATACAGCACCTATACAACACAAACGTGACAGCAACAAAAACACGATGAATGCCTGCACAGAGTTGCAGTTGCCAGCAACAGGGGAATACTACACTAAACCTGCTCAAATGATGAGGCATATTGAGCGCTCTTTGGCCTCTGCATCTCTCTGTAAGGACGAAACAGTAATAACTACTCGATGAAGCTGCTCCTATTGCTTCCGATCTTCCTGAGAATATGCCATGGACACATGAGTCAGGCAAGTCCCCAGGTCTCAGGACCCAACTAGGTTGCCTTTCATGCCCGGAGCTTGAGCTTGACGTCATGCAGCAAAAGCCTTTGATCTGGAGACTGCAAATGCGACTCTTTAAGCTGAGCTCCTTAACGAGCCTGCAACAAAAACGAGTCTGAAACAGGCCTCGACGCTTCGGGAATGATCCGAGCACTGCTGCAAACAGCCAGCACTAAGCCACCTTGAATCGTTCTGCAACATTCAAACATGTGTGTGTGTGTGTGTTCCCACCCCGGGATATGCAGGACGCAGCGCCTACCCCTCTCCTCAAAGGAGATACAATTGCAAAATGCCCACTTTAATAATAGGTTTCTGAACAGTTCTTCCCTGCAAGGAGGCTCCCTCCTTTCTTGCCATGTGCGAAAGCTGCTGAGAACTAAAGCAAGCGCATGGCATGAAGCAAACTTGCACATGTTTGCGTTTTAATCCAGGTCAGGGGAGGGAGACGGCCCCGATAGAGACTCGCGTTTACACCCAACCAGAAACTCACTCTTGTCTGCCCAGGCGCGTCCCTTTCATAGCAAATCTTGCAAAGGAGCCTTAGTTTGTGCATCACAACTCAGCAAGGCAGCAGCGCTGTGCCAGTGTGTTTTCGCTCTTCCCCGCTGTTGAAGACACCTTTCGCACGTGAAACCAGCCCATTCCCCACCAAGCGAAACTCACTTTGGCGTTAAACGTCTCCCCGACAATGTGTGACAAGAAGTAGCTCTGAAAAATGTGTGTGCATATATTTAATATTTGTATGGGTCTGTCTTTCTGCCTCCGGGCAGCAAGAAACGACTTATAGGGGAGGAAAAGACACAATGAGTGAGGAACTACGCTGTCTAGACTCTAAAATTGCCCTCGTTCGGATCACCCTGCGTACGGCTAGAGTCCACTCAGTGCCATGTGTTCGCCTTTGGTCTTGGAGCCCTCTGCAAAGTGCATTTCTTGCCCCCATGAAAATTTCGGACGCGGAACATCGGCCTTGATGACTTGCCAGCCTCGCTAACTTTTGTAAATTAGTTCGACAAAATCAGCGCTACACTTGCACGTCTGAATTTTAATAGCTTTGAACAGCTTCCCACACAGCTGGCGGTGCCTCGGGCAAGCAGCCCAAATGCTTTGCTCCATCTCATTTCGCCCCCTTTCTCCTTTCGAACACCAGTCTGGGCCCCAAAACGTCGGGGAGCACGCGCGTTCAATGCGGTTGTCAGTTCATTTCAATCCAGGCGGGCGCCAAGAAAGCTCTGCGAGGGCGCACTCTTTCAGCCAATGGCTCCTTCACCCCGCAAGCCAAGTGGGTATGGGTCAAAATTAAGCCACCAGAGGCCACAGGTTTTGGTCCATGTTTCCACTTGCCAGGTTCCATTTGGGGTACCTATTTTTGACCCACAGCCAAGTCGCAAGCCTTGCTCAGCTCTGGAGGCCCGCTGCTCCGCACGGAGAACCAGATCCGCTGCCTGCTGAGCGGCTTCCTCCCGATCTGCCAGGGCTGCCTTGGCATGGGCCATGCAAATGCTCAATTATGATCGCGATGGGACATGAGCCGCATAGTGCCGCCTTCTTGTCCTTCTTTCCATGCGGGCTTTTCTATGTGCACTGGCCAAGGGCGATCACGTACAGGAGGCTGGGGCTGTGACAGGCGTCAGCCCGACCACCCCCTGACCCTTCATAGGGAGAACGGTATCCATGTAACAGATATAATTATTCCTGCTCATGTATTTCAATTGAAGTGGTTGGCTTCCTTGCGTTTCTTCATGCTTTGTCTGGTTCATCTCAGAAGGCTTGAGATCTTTGAGCTTTAGCTTGTAGTCACCTCCTTGCAAGCAAGAAAGGTGTTACTGTAGTTTCCACTTGCGCAACGCACTGCGCAGATTGCTGGGGTGCACTTTGCGGGCTTGATCTGTATACACGAGATGATTGATAAACATCTTGAGCAAAACAACTGGAATGTGGCAATCAAAGTGCCCAGCGGCTTGCAAGCGAATCAGCTCTTTGTCCTTGTCCTTGTCCTCCTTAGAATTAGACTACTGCCGTCTCAAGTGCGAGCACATGTGACACAACCATGACTAAAAACCTGAAAGCTTGAGGTCTGCGATGCAATCAACTCATTTTCACACAGCAATGGGAAGCGTGTGCTGAGGAATGCTCCCCAGCGCATCTTGGCTTTCAAACTGCAACTGCTGTGCTCTCCACGCCTGCAACTCGCCCACTGCTCAGAGTTGACTGCACATCCCAGGAGGTCCCGGACATTTGCCTCTTGTCTTGCCAGCTGCTTGTGGAAAAACATGCGCCAACCTTCCACAAGTGTGAAAGGGAGGAAAGCAGCCAACAGCTGGAGCAACATCCTGGGACCGTAGAATGGAGCTTGGGCTGGTGTTTGCTAGCCCTGTTTTTTTTTTGGGGGGGGGGTGGTGGCAACCTGTTGGGGGGTGTTGGTTGGCGGCATGCTCAGCATGGGCCCACTTGCACCTAGGGTTGCATCCGAAACCAGCCCACAACTTATTTAACCACATCCTATAACATCCCTAAAGCACTGCTAAACCCTGAGCATGCCAAGCACAAATCAGCTCCAAGCCAACCCAAACTCAAAGTCAAACCCAACACTTCCCAGCAGTGTGGATATCAGCCCTTTGCCGAGCCCAAATGAGCCCCACACCCACCCAAGACACGCCCTAACTCAAGACCTCAGGCAGCCTAAAACTCACCCCAAACCATCCCGAGCAACTCTCAACAGCCACCAATCCAGTCTAATTGGCAGCCCTAGGTTGAAGTGAGGCTGGTGATGCTGGGGATGCGTGCAAGCAACCAACCTGCCAGCCAGCCAACCAATTAACCTGGGCACACCTCATCCTTAGAACGGATTCCATTCAAATCAGACTCACGTGACCCTCAATCGCAAACTTGCCGCCGGCAAAAAGTGACGGGGAACAAAGGGTTGCCGCTTGCCCCTTCGAACTCCGACCACCTTCAAAGGGAGCCTTCCAAAGCAAACTGGCTCGACACCGAAGACAAATCCGACGCACTGCCACTGCCAATCAACACATCTGCTGTCAACGAGAGCAGCCTGCCCGCGGCCCCGAAGACCCTCTTCTGCCACGGCTCAGTGCCGACGCCGAACATCAAGCAAAGACACCCAAAGCACGTAGCTGAAAGGAAGCCCTGCGCAATGCGATGTTGCCATAGCGCTTCAGTCACAAACGGGGAGATTTGCAGAAGTCCGTTAAAAAATTAACCTCTTCAATAATCCAAGGGAACATGCGGTCAAATAGACTGTCTTGCTGATGATGGGGCTTTGCACAGCCTTGGCCAGCGCGGCAATCGAAAACCATGCCATGTGCTGCGCACATTGAGTATTAGTTTCGGGCGGTTTGCTCGCACTGCTGTGCAACCTGCTCCTGTTCTCCAAGCTGAAAGGTTTGGCAACGCGCATCATGGCAGCTCCTATTCGGCGAATCGAACATGACTGAACATATTAACACCGTCGCTGCGTATACTCGCATGACCGGTCGTTTTGTAGGATCAAGTGGATGGTGAATGTAGCATGTGGAAAAACGGTGTCATAAATGGCTATGGGAAGGGGGGCCAACAAACGGAAGCTGCGCTTGTTTCCCTGCCCCCGGACCAACTTACTGTCGGGCAACAAAATCTTAAGGTTCAAAGCAAACTATCCCAAGCAACAAAGCCTAAGCTGGGGTGGGGATGTTCAAGGATTGTAGATGCCAGGCACCTTCGGTTGCATGAATGCTTCCACTGATGTTGGGCTATCACTTTGCACTACTCTCCTGCCAGGACAGGACAAGTTGTGAAAGAACCTCGCTCTGTTTAGAGATACTTTTCTGAGGTTGTCGGTGTTTTGCTCCTGATCGTTTTGCCGTGCTTTGTGCTTGCTGCACTTTCAACCTCGAAATCGCGACCTGTTCGTACAATTATGGCACAGGAAGTACACTTTGGCAGCTCCATCTCGAAAATCACAACTTTTACCAAGTCTGGCCTGATTGTAAAAAAGAGAGATGTATATTTGGTATTCGGGGGTCGCTTGTGTTCAAAACTGGTGTGTCTCACGGCAACACGATAAAGAGTTTAAAGAACGAAGCGATAACGGTCGTTTGCCGGCTTGGAAAAATAATGCTTTTTGGGCAACCACCAGTGACAAACTTCGTCGCACATG